AAGAATTAAAGAATTAAAGAATTAAAGAATTAAAGAATTAAAGAATTAAAGAATTAAAGAATTAAAGAATTAAAGAATTAAAGAAATGGTAGATATAAGTAAAATAAAGTCGGTTGACGACGCTAAAAACGCAGAATATAATGGTCAAAAGTTAACCAGTGCCGAGAAAGCTGTTTTTGATCATAGTTCGATAACTAATGATTTAACTAAAGTAAAAGAAACTGCTGAATTATTAGAAAAAGTTATTAAAGCCAAGGCAGAAACCAAAGCTAATAGTGGTTTATTAGTTGACCTAGAAACAGAAAAGTCTCTGAAATCTGACAGTTACACTGCTATTAATAGTGTAGATAATAATAAGTATGACACTGCTATTACTCATTTAAAAGGATTTGGCGATGGTGGTGATAAAACCGAGGAGGAGTATAATAAGCAAATTAAAGCGGTTGAAATTCAAATCGCTGGGAAAGATACTGAATTAGAGAAGATTGAAGCCGAGTATAAAATCTATGTTGAGCAATTCAAGGCTAATGAGGCAAAAAGACAAAAAATAGTAAATGAAATAAAATCTTTAAAAAAATTTAAAGTTGATCTAGCCAAACCAGCAGGACCTTACGCTATGGAAAATACTAACTATCTCGAAAAAATTATTGACGAATATGTTGATACTTACACCAAGAAACCACAAGTATATAAAATGAAAATTTCTCTCGACTCAGCAAATTTACATGACTATGCTAATACGAAAGAAAGGCTTTATGTGACAAAAATGTCTCTTGAATATATTGCAATGCAATTGTTTGATATGCTAAGGGAGTTTGGGGAGGAAGAAATGAATGAGGCTATTGATAGAAGTTCATGCTCTGATCCAACAAAGGCAAAAGATATTTTTAAAAGATTATTAAAAGTTAATTGATGTGTAAAAAAAAATAATAAAGGTGGTAGTGATACTATCTCAATCATTCCCTTTCTAAATAAAAGAGGGGAATATCAAAGCCAAAAAGTAATTGGTCGAGAAAAGAACATTTGACCAAGTTTAACCTTTAACTACGAAGATTTTTTTGATTTTATTAAATTAGTTTTTCCTAGAGATAGTCTTTTAACAAGTTCAAATTCATTACTTAATTATAATGATACTAGTAATTGTTTATCACAAATTGGTTTGTTAAAAAAAAATAATAGACAAATTTATTGAGGAGGATTTTCTATGGAAATAGGTAGTGACAAAACGGGATATTATGATTTAAAATCATGGATCAATAAAAATCATCCAACTAAAATTTACGAATTTAATAGAAATGCTAAAACTAATGAATCATTAAATTTAGAAGATTGTATAAAATTTTTCTATGATGCTTTTGATGAAGTTAAAGAAGTAAATGGTTCAGGAAAATTATGGAATGATCCCCTTCATTCAAAATCAATACAAGAGTTTAATGCTGAGGTTGCTAAAAAAGAGTTGAAGTGGATAGAAGAAGTAAATAAAAAATCAAAAATAAGTGAAGATTTTTTAAAATTAATAACTGAAAAAGTAATCCTTGAAAAAGAGTTTATTCGTGCTGCAAAAATAGGTGATGGTACTAAAGTCCGTAAAGCTGGGGAAGAAAATATGAAAGAAAACAAACTTGTTCATATTCTTACTAATAAAAAACTTAGTTCCACTAAGTCTAATTTAGATCACACAAGTACTGGTGTTAATAAGTATTTAGATTTAAGTGTTATTGATGATAAAATAGTTAAACTAGAAGCTGATAAAATTGGCACCCGTAGCATTGCTGTCATTTTTGATATGCTCAACGAACTTGCCTTTTTTAGTAGTATCTCCAATAACTCGGTTAACTAATTCTTCAATTGCTGCCTTTTTCTTGTACTTGCCGTTGGCTTTGTCCAGATTCATCCATTTATCTAGCAAGGATTGATCAGCGTTAGCAAAAACAGGCATTGATTGAAACTCAGATAGGGTAATATTTGAGCTTTTGTCATCTTTTTTAGGAATATATTTGCCCGCTATTTTATCCTTAATCGCTTGTAGTTCTAGTTTTTCCTGCTCATCTAATTGACGAATTTTAGCCGTCTCCTCAAATGCTTCCTTGTAAGTGATTAATTTCTCCAACTCTGCTGCTCTGGCAATTCTTTCATCCATATCTTTTCCCAAATCTTCAAATTCTTTTATTTTTATAACTGGTCCAGCTAATTTATCTTCTATTTCGGTCTTTATATCACTCTCCATAGTGATATACTTGGATTTTACATCTTGTGATTGCTCAGCACATTTTTTTTTTAAATTAGCAATATTAAATTTCATTCGCTGAATTTCGTAAATAGTATACAATTTAGAACCTATTCCAGCACCACAAATGCTATCAATTAAGTTTTCTATTTCGGTAATAGATTGTAATTTAGCATCATCACGCATTTGTTCTAAACTTGCTTTTTGATTTTCTAATCGTTTCTTTTCGGCTTGCTTTTCGCCTTTTTTTTTAGAAGTACTTTTGATACCTTCTTCAATACCAATCTTTTCTCCTTGAGTGCCAATTTTATCAGCTTCTAGTTTAACTATTTTATCATCAATAAC